TTTGATCAGTTCAAATTCAGTATGCGGGGATTTTAAAAGTTTGTCACTGTTTATGGCTATATCAATTTCAAACAACTAACTAATACAAGTTACTGTCACTAGCTTATCTCTGCATGTAGAACGCACTTGTGCTTACGGCGGTGGTCATGTTTATTATGATGGTATCACACCCATCATCAATGTATTTGCAAAGAAATACAATTTGAAAACAAGCATAACTTCGACTCGTCGTGTCGAAAATTGGATTAGCGTTAGTTTTCACTTAGTGTATGGTATATTTACTGTAAAATAAAACCCACAAACACGTTCAATCTATAATACATTATATTTCAAGGAAGCCATTGACAAAGAATCATTTATGCACCCAATACGATGTTTAGAAGATGGAGACGTGAACGGGGAATTCAAAAAATCAGATTTTGTGGTAGAGGGCGAAGTTCGTGTGGGTGGTCAGTATCATTACTATATGGAGACCCAGTGTTGTATCGCACAGCCAAAAGAGCGTGGTGAAATGATCGTGACTGTGTCATCGCAGTCACTAACAAGTTTACAGGTTAGTCAGTAATATATCCACGGTCTGCATTGGGTTTGTCAATTCAACCCCCAAACATGCGGTATTAGATTTAGGCGAGTCATAGACTTCATGGTATAGTAGCGATCATGAGTTATAGAGCAATACACTTTACAGTATTTTCAACAATTAAATGGTATGGCTACAAATGCTCACGCGGTCATACTGCATTTGCAATTAGTTTTAGTGCATATTCATTCATACAGAATATTCATATGTATGATTCGGTTTCATCATATTTTCTGTTTTAAATATCCCCTCTACGCTGATTTAGGTAAATGTAGCAGCAGCTCTTGGTATTCCAGTAAATAAAGTGACATGTAAGATACGGCGTGTTGGAGGAGGATTTGGTGGTAAAGACACTAGCACAGTCAATTTCGCAATGGCATGTGCTGTCGCCGCAAAAAAGTACGTGCATTCAATTCAATTTGATATGTATTTGCGCTGACTACCACATGTAAATGTGTACAGAAATGGTCGAAGATCTAAATAAACACGCCATTCTGTTTTGATATCTCGGGACAAAAGCTTATTCAGAAGTTAAGTTTGTATCAGCATGGAATATCGAAAATAAACAAGTCACTCAATTTTGCATATATGTGCTATTTTAATGTTCATAACAAATACGTATGTTTGGAGTGTACCTTGAACTATCACACACACGGTATCTCAATTGAATCATGGTTTGGCTATTGAGGTCTGACTATATTACATTTGACATATAAATACAACAAATTCGTTCAAATCGCTGATAATAATATACATAGATGATAATTATAGGGTTGGAAAAACAGTTCGTCTTGTCATCGGGCGTGATTTGGACATGCAAACTGTTGGACTGAGGCATCCATTAGTCGGCAGGTATAAAGTCGGCTTCAACAAAGACGGCAAGCTGCGTGCACTCGAAAGCGAAATTTTCTTCAATGCAGGCTACTCCTATGACTTATCAATGTTGGTGAGTTTCTACTTGTTAGTCTACTAATTACGAGACATAATCCATTAGTGTAAATTTAAGTGTTGAAATCAAGGAGACATTCCCAAACCAGTTTGTTTAACAGTCTAACACATTAGATAAAGGTATTAGTTGCACTATTGATTTTTGAAACACGTACTAAAAACTGTATAAAGATAACCAGTTCGGAATCATTTGGTGTTTCACAGCGGGTGCGATAATTTATTACACAAAACTATTACATAACAAAAGCTAGAAACTTAGTGTGAAACTGTTTTTCCTTTCTTTGCTAGATACTAGAAGTCGGGATGCATCAATTACATAATGCCTATATGATTCCTGCATACAAACTAACTGGAAAGCTCTGTAGAACAAATCTTCAATCTAACACATCAATGAGAGGAATTGGAACGTTACAATCTATGGCATTTATTGAAACAGTTATGGATACCGTGGCAACAAAGTGTGGCGTATCTCCAGTGAAGGCGAGATTACATTTTTCTGTATTTGAGAATGTTTCAAATCTATAAGTTTTATTTATTTATTTATTTATTTAATAAAAATATAGTTTAAACTATCAACAATTTTGCTAAAATTAAATTGGTTAGTCTAAAACAGTATACTTATGATATTTCACAGATACATTTTTTGAACTGCTATTTTTGCCAATTTGAAATTTGTATTCATACGCAGTGTTGACTTAAATACAACAAAAGCACTGCATGCATATACCATGTGACCATATGTGTCTATTTTAGGTCAGAGAGATAAACTTGTACAAGGTTGGCGATACAGACCACTTTTATCAAGACATGCCAGATGTGATGAATCTAAAACGATGTTGGGATGAGTGTCTTGTGAAAAGTGATTTTCACAAACGTAGACAAGAAACGGATCAGTTCAACAGGTTATATTTTCATGTTGCTTGCTCAGTTGTGCAGTGTTTCCTCAATACAGTCAATAGTATCAAAATTTATGTTATGAAATAGTTCAATATGCTATATTGAGTGTATAAACGTATTGCAAGTGGTATTTGATAGATAATGTTGTACCTCTTGAGCGGGGGTAGTTTATTTGAAGTGTATTCGCTTTCTTTGCTCGGAAAGTATCTACCGCCAAATATGCTAATTGTCTCCGCAAAGAGGTAGCACGTTAACGCATCGATCTCTGCTACGCGTCGCACGATGCGATCATCGCACTGCCTTTGTACGTATATCTATGCGATCTAGCACGTGCCTCAATATTTACTATTGACTGCTAGCAATTGTTTTTAATAATATAGTAAATACGGATAGTATCGCCATGTGTCAAACTCGGTCATATATGAACTATTTAAATACATCACCCGTAGTATGAATTTCTGACATATTGGTATACTGTATTTCTCTTATAGAGAAAATCGTTGGAAAAAAAGAGGACTCGCTATCGTTCCTATCAAACGAATGACTGGCATTCCGATTCCTTTTATGAATCAGGTTCGTAATACTTTCTCCATGGAGACACATTAGACACTAAATTGTGTGCTAGTTACATCAGCGGTTCGGAAACTGGTAAGCAGTAGATCCGGTTTAGTGAAGAAATGAATCCTGCGAATCCACGGTAATGTTTTGAGAACTGGAAACGTAGAATTCTCAAATTCGTGTTCAAAACATCAACGCAAACTAGTAAAAGCATGAAACTATTGATATATAGCAAGAACATATTAAAAAACATTTATTACAAAACCAAATTGTCCAGTCACTAAACGAGCTATTTTTTGGCTGTGATTTGCTGGTTAGTGCAAGTGTAATATTGATAAACACATTACAAGATTTTATGTTAATGATATTGCATGGTTTATATGATAAATATATACAGTTACATACTATGCAACTAAAATTATTGTCGAGACTAGTTAATTACAAATATGTAAGTACATTGACTCTTCTTTAATTAAACACCGTGGCTCATAGGGCGCTGCATTGGTGCATATATATCTAGATGGTTCAGTGTTACTTACCCATGGTGGTATAGAGATAGGTCAAGGGTTACATACCAAGACGATACAGATTGCAAGTCGTGTTCTGCGTATATCTTCTGAACGTATACATATCAGTGAGACCAGTACCGATAAGGTACCGAATGCAGTCCTAACTGCTGGTTCATCTGCAACTGATCTCTTTGGCAGTGCTGTGAAGGTAAACATTTTGATTGTTAATTACAGTGATTTAACATACTAATACACTGTACTTCGCTATTCGTGGATACGTCCACGGTTAATGGGAACATTGTTTTTCTTTGGTAGGTTGCTTGTGAGACATTGATGGATCGCCTGGAACCATTCATGAAAGAAAATCCTAAAGGCTCGTGGGAACAATGGGTAAGTGTGAAGAATATTTAGTATCTGTATAATGCTGAACATGTGTGCAGATTCCTTTAAATACATCACACAATGATATCTCGAATTAAACATTTTCTATACGTCGTGTCTTGGGGTGAAAATTAGAGCATCGATATTGTTTTGATATGAAGTGTGTATATTTACTATCTTATAAAAGACTACACAGTCAAACACAGCTTTGAATTCTCAACGACATTGCTTTCACATATCAACGTCATTCATTATGCAAGAAGCGGCGAATACAAGAATAAACTAATTGTCTTGTTCTTAGGTTGGTGCAGCCTATTTCAACAGAGTGAGCTTATCAACTACCGGATTCTACAAGTAAGTGAGCATCAAGTGAATAGGCTACAACATTAACATACATGTCTATTTGTGTTGATAAACATAGATTTTCCAATCCATCACAATACAATACGCTTTCCCAGTGAAAAGCACTAACTTTTGTGCATTTAATACCGACTTTGACTTGTTGAATATTTGTCGATGTGTTCAAGCCAAATTACTTATGTAGGCCTTGGTAACATATCTTTGTTGTGCTCGTAAATCTAGAGAACATTAAAAGTCGACATCTTTGTTCGCATGACGGGGGGCCAAGTATGGCGGACGACCACTACACTTAAAGGTGGTAGAAAAATTGTATGGAGTGCAATAAGAGAATCTCAGTTACAATAAATGTACTGATAAAAAAATGGTATCATACCAGTTTGTCAGTGCTTTATTGGGATTGGACGACGCGCGTTCTATTTCACTCAAGTTGATTAGAGCATAATGGGCTGCTATTCACGGGTTATGATTTTGATGTTCTTCCTACAATATGGATAGCAAATATTAAGACTATTAAAATTAATATCTTATGAAAATTGGCTTCAATTCCACCAGGGAACTAAAATGTAGTAGGTTCATTATGATGACATCAAATCAAGAAGAAATCAACTTTGAAAACAAACATAATTTAAATTACGGCATGTGGGAATTTACATTGCTACTCGGTGTTTGTGAGTTATGTGCAGTTATATTTTAATCCAGACGCATCCAGGGCGCGCCTTACAGTTCAATTTTGTTTCTTCAATTTTGAGCGTGTTTGTGCTGTTTCCATCGCTATAAAACTAGGTGAAAATAATGCTTATATAAGGTAATAGCAATAACCCTCGCTTGCCAAGACGGGTGTACAATTTGATATTTCACAATTTACTCCATATATGCTCGAACCGTCAATTCTAATCGCTTGAATAATTGATATATGCTATAATTGTAGTTATATAAACCGTGACAACACTGATATCGTAGAGATGATACATTAAACGCAAATGGTCGCCAAGATCTCGCTGAGAGCGAGAAAGCCACGAGATTTGTTTTCCCACTCAAATACATTGTTGACTTCTCTCCTGTAATCGCGTACACTGTTTCAGTGTTCTATGTAATCGTGATGATTTGGGACAGTCTGGACGCACTGGCGGGAGACTGGAGAATAGGCACTTCCTTGCCACCAAACCTTCATTTATTCATTTAAAAAGGGTAAAACATAGTGTAAGTTGCAACTTGTCGCGCATGGCCCTCAAAAATACTGATAATTCATTCACAATTCGACACTACAACAGCAATGACTGGCACACTATAATGCAATGACAATTTTTAAAATTGTAGTTACAATGCACGAAAAAAATCCCCAACTATTTATGCATAAATATGGTTACGCTATACGATTGCCTGATTTCCTGTTCCAAAGATTTGGTGGCACACTCTACATCAGATAGAAACTCGTGATGAGTATTACAAAATGTTGAATTTTACAAAATATGAAGTTTGATATCGGGAAATATCCGACATCAAGTACACCTGAATATTTAGGGTATATCCATAGTTACTCAGGGTTAAAACTTTGTATGAAACAAACATATTGATATAAAGATAAGAAATGCACACATTCAAGTCTGACCATTCGTCAATAAGGTATTACTATAGGTGTTGTTATGAATTGCTATTGCTGAACAATGACAAACATATATAGTGATATCACTCTACAATTTATTTAGATATCCAGGAGAAATAGGTTTCAATTGGGAAGATCACCGCGCAAGTCGGCTGGCGTACAACTTTATGTATGGGGCTGCTTGCTGTGACGTTGAAATCGATTGCTTAACTGGTGATCATCAAATGAGACGAGTTGATATTGTTATGGATGTCGGGAAAAGTTTAAATCCAGCACTGGATATTGGACAGGTAAAGTGTGCATTGTATTATAATACTTCTCGTTGTGTTGTGGTTTATCCAGTTATCATTAGGAGGATTCATGAATAAGAAATATATGATTTATCATGATGGACAAATGTGATGTGCTGTTATTGAAGACATGAATTGAATAAAACGTCTGATATAACTTTTTGTACGTTGCAGTACCGTAATTTGCAGAATTGTATCATATAATATTCAAAATTTATTATTTTCATAACAATTACAAATTATACAATTAGCATATTTTATATTAGCATTTTTGTATGGAGATACGTTTCTTTTCAATTATGCTGCCTGACAAGATTTATCAACAATCTTACAGCCAACACAGTATTTGCTTATAGGATGACACAACGTCACAGCAGTTGTAAACAATGTTGTTACTGATTACACTATAAACGTCACGTGGTTGAGGAATGCCTGGAGATTATATATGCATAGACACATACACTCAAAAATGTTGTTACTGATTACGCTATAAACGTCACGTGGTTGAGGAATGCCTGGGGATTATATATGCATAGACACATACACTCTAACAATGTTGTTACTGATTACACTATAAACGTCACGTGGTTGAGGAATACCTGGAGATTATATATGCATAGACACATACACTCTAACATAGAGCAAGGTTTAGTATAAATTGATGGATTTCTATATATAATGGAACTATTTGAGAGACAAGTGTACTTCGGCGTAAGCGAACGTCACTGTCGCAAATCACCCACGCAGTTGCTTAGAATTTAGAGGTTTATTCATTGATATGATAATTCAGTGAAAATACGTGACACTACAGTTCAGTTTATTGACTGGGTTCATTTATATATATATTGCCTTGTTGTACCAACCAACAACCGAGTATTCCCAAATAGCAGCACGGCGTTTACGTAAACAATGGTCTGTTCATTTCACAACGTCTCATATGCGGACGGTTTGGCTACTAAACATTAACGAATGAAAATGCTTAAACATTTCCAATAACACAATATCTTGTATACATGTGTTGTCATTATTCATGATGGAATTCGGGCTAGTTTTATACACGACCCAACATATCTCAGCGCACGGATTCTTTTCTAAAATAGGCTGGTGACTAAAAACGTACTTTTAATACATTTTTGTGGATTTAGTACATTTTCCAGAAGTACTTAAGTGCATGGGGGTTTAAAATATAATTATATATTTGTCATTGAAACACCGATTAACCCAAGACCAAACATGATGACAATACGCGTGAAAGACGAGTGACAACATGCATTACCCGCCATAGTCATATTCAAGAAGTTCACGTATAGATAACCAGATATTGTTCTCTTGTAAATAGTGACATTGATATATTAAAAACCATACAAATCAGTATTTCTCCATTAATTCAATTTTTCGTTATCGTGAAGACAGTTTTGTATAATGTAACGTTTGTTTTTCAGTCATAATCTCTCACATACCTTTTACCTAGATTGAAGGTGCTTTCATGCAAGGATATGGTTTATTTGTTGTGGAAGAATTGCGATATTCACAAAAAGGCGAACTACTGACCAGGGGACCGGGAATGTATAAAATACCATGTGTCAGTGATATACCAAGACAATTCAATGTGCATTTGTTGAAAGGAGCTACGAATCCAAACGGTATCTATTCTGCCAAGGTGAGTGATGTATATCGATGGAGTCTTGAAACTGATTTCGTGGAATATAGAATTTTTCGTGGATTATAGAGTGTTTCGTAGATTAGAGAATATTTCGTGCATTATAGCATATTTCGTGGATTTAAGCATAATTGAAGAAGTGACAAATGAAAGCCGTAAATTATTAACGACTGCGACTTCAAAGTAGTTCATTGCACAAGATGCATCAGTCAGTATATATAGGTGGAATAATTTCCCTGCATTATTATTACATACATTGAACATTACTAAATCGAAACATGTTTTCAGTCGAATTGGCGATTAAAGGGAGGTGGTCGTACAGAGCGCGTTCAAATATAGTGTAAAAATCACATTTATTTATACGTATCACATGGGACGCGTGAGGCAAAGACCCTCACTCTCTAAACAATCTATTACAAATATGATATTTTACTCCTATGTATGAAACGTCGTTTATTAAGCATGATTCATTTATCGTATGATTAATACTGTTAGGCAATTGGAGAACCACCATGCTTACTTGGAGTATCTGCACTGGTTGCCATCAGAGATGCTATATCTTCAGCTAGATCAGATGTTGGTCTCCATGGCAACTTCAAGCTGGACTGCCCATCAACACCTGAAAGAATCCGCCATGCCTGCAGTGATGATTTCCCCAAACCTGCCAAACAGGTACAATCTAGTTCAGAACAGAAACATTTATGTCAAAGTGTTGTTTTATAAGTTTATCAAACATATGTAAACTATAATATAAACAATCATCATTGGATCTAAGGTGTAACAACATATAAATGCTCACATTCGCATAGCGTCACACAAGTTATCGAAAGTAGAATACCATGTAACGTAAATCAATGTTCTGTCATGCAATTTATATACTCAATAACAACTACTGTATTAGAATTATGTGTAAGCATGTTATATTGCCTTCCAAGCAATATTGTTTTGTGAGAGATATTTGCATGTATGAAGTTTGTAATTGGTTGATTGGACCCTATATTGCAATGTGTCAACATAAATCGTTAATCCTTACGCAAATTGATAATTATATTTATCGAAACGTTTGTGATATTCAATCTCATTTAATAATTTTTGTTTGCAACAATGATAATTTGACATTTATTTGTTATATTGTTAGACTTTATTATAAAATGTTTTTGTGAGACTGTATCTTGTAATATGAAATTATGCCGGACATTTTATTTTGTCCCAGTGTTTTTTTTACATGTAATGTTTGCGTAAAACAGTAACGTGTGTATGATTATACTAATCAATTTACTACAAACATATTCTTATAATTACAGGTAATTGATGACTACTTCGTCAGGCCGTAGATGTCCCCTTGCATTCATCGCGGGAATGAATCTATGAAAAAAACACCATAGTTAAAATTTATTTTGAAAGGTTTTTTTTTTACTTCCAGATCTGGGGCTGGGAATAAGGTATTATGATGTAAATGATCATTTAGAAATAGTTAAATATATTTGGCATTGATATATTTATTGTCAACTTATAAACTTTTTTGGGTGCCCAATTTGGTATGGTAATTGTACTCTTTGGAGTGTGTTTGCGATTATAAACCTCATTGTTGTGGGTAAAATCGTGTCAGCGGTAAATGGACTACCATTTCAACAACAATGGCTTTTAGGAACTCATTGCAGCTAAGAAATTATATGACAATACTACTCGACACGTATATAACGTATACTACAACAATCTTGCTTGACGTGTGAATTAGTTTTGTCCATTTGCACTTACTTTTCTTTTTAATGTAGACTGTCGATATAACTATATAACAAGTGAAATTTAAGCATTATATAACCAATTAATATTGACAAATAAATATAATCATTAAAACTATAATATATTCATGTGATGTAATCATTTTTGGGGTGAATAAAACATGTATAGCGATATATCCATAGCTAGACGAACTGGCACAGGATCATTTTATAAATGTACTTTCACCCAATCATTTATTGTTTTCTTGTACCAAGTTATTTACCGTATTTACACTAAAAACAGTACATCTTGTTTTATTATATGCACCCATTGATATCCAGCTTGATTGCAATTGCATTGATTGCAAAGTCATTCCACTACCACTAAATTAGTATTAAGGAGAGTCAAACATTCTCTCGTAGAAACAACTAGAATCTTGAAAAATAGCTCGTCTGGTTGGTGCATATATTTTGTTTACAGACTGGGGGTATTGGGATTCAGTGGACCGGTAATTAACAAGTCGGTTGGCTGTTCTACGCTTAAATGGAAAACTGTTATGTTATGTGCTAACTATCATACACAATTATTGAAATATAAGTTTAATAAAATTCCTAAAATGCATTTGATTAACATTGAGTTATCTTAAATTGACGGGATGTTAAGCTTCTGGTGTATTGATATTCTCTGAATCATTGTTCGATTCACCCATTTTCCTTACACGTACACGGGACATGTGGAAGCATGTTATCTCAAAACTATGCTAGATAAATTACATTATGTTTCTTGCCATTGTATTATACAACCTGATTATGATCAATATATTTGTGCTACAATTGATTGTTCTAGAATGCAGAATGAATGTCTTTATATTAATGATGGATATGTTAGAACTCGCATGTGACCAGCAAACGAGGAATGTGCCTGCGAGTTTTTCGATTTTACAAATTTACGTGTCGTGTATGATAGTGTATATATAGGGTTCATATTGTACTGTGTTAACTAATTTGCAATAAAGAAATATGACTTACTTGGAATATATCACTAACTAATTACAGTTAGTTACATAATGAACATTCCGATTTAATACTTTTGTAAGATTATGAATCTTAAGCACAGAATGTATTGCAAATTGTTCCGAATAACCGGTCAATAAATTGCTGGTCGAGTGTTTGTGGGATTTGTTATAGACCAAGTTTTCAATAAATTGCTAGTCTTGAAAGCATTCCAACTATCTTCATGGGATTGACAAAATATTCTGACAAATTCTCAATATAAATAGATATCTAAGACTGTCCTGAATGTCTATTTCTGGCATTGTAAATAAACAAGCAACTCACTGAGCTTTCCAGATCACCAGTCGTAGAGCTCTGTCTTCTCTCTCATTGGATTCTACCAATAACATGTGTAACCTTAATTCCAGGGTTAGTGATTTATTTACCCATAACTCCCATACAATAACTTTAATGTGAAGAAGTTTGCTCCACAAGCTTCTTTGTATGCAAACAGTTCTGAGGCTAAGTAACGATCCAGGTCTATAGGTCACTTTCTATACATGCATGCGGGCATGGACTTAAGAATTCTATTAAAACATTTACATATGCCATTCGTTTGTGAGTGATATTGCATTGTGACGAGCCATTAACTGACAGGAGTCCGATAACCTTCTTCATAACACCACAAACAAACAGACGCCCTTGGAAAGTGAGAATCTGTTTGAGTATGCCAATTCAAATATAGTCACCAGAACCTGCTCAGTCGTGATATTCTTTAAGAGGACGTAGCAGGAAGCATAATCAACCAATTTACGTACTACCAAATTCATTGAAACTCGTGTGAATAGAATATTTATCAAAAGCATCACTAAGGAGAACCTAGCTTAGTATTTCAATAACAAATTCCACCTTAATCCCGTTAGCAGCTGTTATTTGCCATCTTGTCCAATATGACGGTCTTTCTGCTTTGGGCCAACATGTGAACATATGTGATGTCTAACCGGGGGTAGTTTTTGTCTGTTTTACTCATTACAGGCGGTGTTTGGGGTTTCTGTGTAGCGTTAGCCGTCTTATTAAACTTGGGTCCGGCAACAAATTTGCCATTATTTTGGGTATAGTAGCATGCCTCATTTCGCAAATCACCCCTTCCCTCAAGAAGTGCAACACAAACGTTTGCTTTTAACAATTTGTACTTTGCCAAATAGTGACAATTTCCTATTTGTAACCACGATTTTAATGCAGTTTTCAAATTGTCCATAGCTTTGTTAATATTTGTCTATTCACCTTTGGGTTACGAGAGACGTATATTTCTACTATTTTGATGCGAGTCATGGGCAATTTTACCTCGAATAGTTTGTCCTGCCTAGACTTCCATGTATTTAGCCAAGCGGCTTCAGTTAAACGCCGCTTTGTTTGTTTGCCGAAAACATCGCTCCCTCTTATTTCACTGTTTGATCTACTAGCAGGGTTTCAGGCACCAGAACATGGAACAGGGTATCGCTCTGTAAAGCCGAGAGTGGCCTTTCTAATTTCCGACTTAGTATTGTTGCAAACCACAGGAGCAAAATGTACCGTCACTTGCAGTGATGAAACTTCATAGTAGTTTCTATCATTTTTGCACAGAATTATTTTGCATACAGGTTATGGGGCGAGATCAGCGCCAAAATTATTTTTATATTATCTTTGCATTAGGATGGCATTATTCTACCATATTTATATTGTCTTTCCATTTTAATATATTCTACCTTGGAAAAAGTGACCTGATAATATTCTACCCATGGACAAGTTGTGATTTACCTGGGAACAAGTCGCCGGATTATATTCTACTTTGGAAAAAGTGCCCTGGTAATTCTTTTATTCGTGCGAGTCAAATACAAGTGAAAACTGCTACCCAAACAGATTGATCCTCAGTCTCGCCTATACTTGACGGACATTGACATACACTTACTTTTTTTCGGACATGCGGTATGGAGAAAGTGCAAGGAACATTGATTCCACTAAATGACATTAATTATAACTTCTTCAGGTTCGATAGGTATATTTTTAATCATGAAATTGACTTTCACTTTATTTTAGTTGTACATATATAATGTTTTCCCCGAGTAGGCATCACAAGCTCCCACGGGTATTACAGTATTACAGTCTCTTAAATATTCCAAGTTTATCAAACAATTCTTATCATAAAATGTACAGTAAATTTAAATGTACATTACTCTTAATATGTGCAAAAAGTCGAGCGATACAACCAATAAATATACGGCAAATAAATGTGTAACAATAAATAACAATGCAAACCGCGAAACATCTGTCAACCATTTTGACAAGCCAAAGCACACATTGCATACCATGTGCTATAATAAACGTGCAGCTGACCACATCCACGCAAAGTGTTTGGGCACAAAATATGGGTGGCAAATAGTATAAATTTCAAAACAACTTTCAATAAATAATTCTTAACGAATACTAACATTTACAGTCTTACAATAATAATCAAAGGTACGAGTGGTACAAATCAGAGTTCATTCGCGTACTCAAACAAATTACTGCAAATAATTACATTTTGATAAAGCCAACAGCCAAACCTTCCATACCTCGTTTAGTGGCAGCTTCTCGGACTAGTGTACAAGTGTTAGCAAACCTAGCAAAATTTACAGAAAACTCAACACGGCAGGGCAATTCAGAGCAGGCACAGAGACACGTCTTCACCCTTCAGAACCACTCGCAGAACTGAAGACAATAGCCTGCCTGACCCAGAGTTCACCACCGGTCAAACAGGTGAAACAAAGGAATCCAACTATGTATTCAATAACCAATCGGGGGGAAGTTTTTCTTACACCACGAAATCTCAGATTTTATGCTTTAACTTATATATCCTATATTTACACATTTTAAATTTCCGACTTCAAAGTTCTTACTTCTTACTTCCAATTTCCGACTTCTCACTTCCAATTTTCGACTTCTCACTGCCGACTGCACATTTCCACTTCTCACTTCTGAATTTAAACTTGAGAGTTCTCTCTTCACAACGAAAGCCGAGAGGGCCCTTCCTACTTCACAGTTCCAACTTCCGAGTTTCGACTTCTAACTTCCATGTTATTATTGTTGCAAGCCGAAGGAGCAAAAAAGTACCGTCATCTGTAGTGATGAAACCTCATAGTAGTTTCTATCATTTGTGCACAGAATTGTTTTGCATACAGGATATGGTGAGATCAGCGCCAAAATTATTGTTATTGTTATATTATCTTTGCATTAGGATGTCATTGTCTTTGCATTTGAATATATTCTACCTTGGAAAAGTGATCTGATAGTATTCTACCCATGGAGAAATCCCGAGCATGTCGCCTGTTTATATTCCACAGACTATACTACTATTTGATGATGTTTTCGCTTTTCTTTTTAACTTCTTCTTTTTCATTTAGGTTTATGTAAAAAATAATGCTGCTGACATCACAACGTCTATCTGAATAATGCATTGATATCTACATGGACAATCCCATGTTGCAAAGTCATCAAATTGAACCCAACAATAAGGAATATGTACTTGTTTTGGAATTGGGATTTCACGGGTGAAGTTTCTGACCTGGAGTCGCTCTCTTAGCAATGTATCTTCAGTTTACAATTACTCAAGAGTCTCTATTTAGCGACTTTTCTGATTTGACGTTATCAGATGATAACCAGGGCCTAACAATACATGCACTGTCCGTTAAATTCGTGGTTTCTGGGTATTCCTTGAAAAATACAAGCCATACTCGAACAGGGTTATAGAACATTTATACTGGCGACTCAATACCAGTACGTTTAAGATCAGACCCGAACAACTTGTTTGATGCTCACGCCATTGCTGTGGATTTTGATGTTTGGTTTTGCAGAACTGACAAAATATGTACACCCTCTTTTAAAAGCCAATAATATAACTTATGTTGTTGTAGATAATATAAAGTTCTGAACTACCTTGCTAATTATTGGGTTTTATGCCAAAATAAGTATAACACGGACTGGCAGTCAGTGGGAGGCAGAGGTACTTTGGGAAAAGTCTGACAGATATCTGTCCTATATATATTGTATACATAAATTATTTTACAATAGTTTGATGTTTGTTGACTTCACATAGATGAATGAAAAAACCTAGTCCTAGATTATGAATTTTATTTTTCCAATGTTCTAATCAGAGAACCAGCGGTGTCTTATTCAAAAGCCTGATTTTGCAAGTTTCATGTGCTGACAAAATTAAACAATTTCCCCCATACATTTCTGATGAATACAACAGATTGTCAATTGTACTGTATATCAAATTTTCTGATTTTGCAGTTAAGTTGGGTTTTGTGGGTGCAACTGAAGAGTCGGGGCAAGTTACACCTTGTACACCTCTTTTAATATTCATGGAAGTGGACCCAACTTGCTGACTATGTTTGAGTGGTGGTGAAAAGATAAATGAATATTTGATTAAAATATCACTCGTGCAATTGTTTCCAATGAAATGATACATCTTTATGTTTAATGTCTCCTGTATACATAAATAGACTTTACAAAAAAAAAATATAACTAAATGTTTTCATGAATACGCCCCAATTAATTAATTAAGTGATGTTTCAAAAATACTACAAGCAGCCACTCGGCTAACATAGATACGCTATTAGCAATGCACATTTCAATTAAAGATATCAATTAGAAAATGAATAATATGTATAGTATCAAAGCAATCTGAATTGCTGTTTGCAATAAGTGGAAAATACAACTTTTTACCAAAATTGACAAAAATATGCATCAAAATTGGAAAATCAAAGATATCATCACGATTTGAACAAATCTGAGAGAGGTCCACAAGTACATATATATAATATCTAAGCAACTAGACTTGCGGTTTTCAACAAGAAGTTGAAAATATCACTTTTTCAACAAGAAGTTGAAAATATCACTTTTTACCAGATAGGTGTACAGACACCTTGCTTCATTTCATCTGCCTAGGCATCGGCGTGTTGGACTCACATAGTCTCGACATGATTCTATAAAAAATGCATATTTATAATTAATTTCTCGGAGCTATCTCTCATTTTGCGTGCAGTTCAAGGTTGTAATGCCCTTCAATAATAGACCTCAAAGAATGAGCGTAAACACCAAATTAAAAAGGGGCAACTTTGGGGGCCTTCACATTTTTTGGACAGCAAATATGCTAACAACAACATAAATGTCCAAAAAACAACATGGAAAGCAGTTATTTTTTTCGTAAACGGCTATTAACGAACGGTAGTAATTAAGAAAATACTGTCATTCGTGTGAAATGGCGATTCACATTTTGAAAATTCCAACAACAACAACTAGGCAAATATGAAACTAGTTTCACATCGGTATGCGGAAGCTTGCTATATATTCTTCCAAATAAAATACGAAAGAAGATGATGAAGAAGTTTTAATTTTACAGCGGCACCAAATAAACTGACTCAATGCTCTCCTGACAAAACTCTGCTCGAGGCCGCAAAGTGGGAAGTAAACCGGAAGTGACGTCGTGACCCACGCCACCTGACCTATATATGAGTGTCGTTTCGCAAAGTACACTCGAAGAAAAGCAAGTCTACGTTCACAGTAGTTGTAAACCTATAGTTTTTACAATAATTTTTATGGTGTATTTTTGAAGCACGGCCATGTCTACTGCTCTAAGTTGCCCATCATCTAGTGACGGTAATGAAACGCTTGTTGCTGACGAGTTGGTTATATTTGTCAACGGTATAAAGGTGAGTTTTTTGTTGTGCAATAGAGAAGAACAAGCGCCAGTAAATTAGCGCCTACATACAGTTCAATGATATTCCACCCATTGTAGCATAGGGAGCCCAGGAACTCTAATGAACTCTGTACGCCTAGCCTGCACTGTATGTCGCGCGGGAGGAAGGGGAGGGGTCGGCTGGGACTTAGTGTATATAAAACTTTAATTGTTAAAATAATACAGTTTGGAGAATATTTCAAATTTTGTCAATTCCTCGCATTTACTTTATCTTTACTAAATCTAGAAAACTAAATGAATACTGAGCGATGTGTGTGGTTTTACTAGAACGGTTGGAGGCATGGGCTGGCATGCACTAAAAACAAGACTAACGAACCAGAACAGGGTCACGAATTAGTTGACCTCTGAGAATTGAAACCGACTTTACGTGACCTCTTTCAGAATGTTGGTGCAAAATATATTGTTGATGTCTCTAGTATCAAATACATATTCTGTTCAGTTAGTTGAGCTGGCATGTGCAGAAGGTGTATTTTTTTGATTTTCCATTTCGTTATGTTGAACTACTAATCAAATCGTTTTTCTTTTTTTTTGAGGGGTGTCACTTTTGTATTCCGATTTATTGGAAAGGGAACTAATCTACTATAGATGAGTTGTAACAATATAATTTGTTGTGTTCCTTCGGATGCAAGTATCCAAGGTGTACAATCATTTTAGTCGTCAGGAATATACGATCTGCAAATAGAATTATATTAAGGGAGGTAATATTATCTCACACAAACAGCAAAAATACTGAATTTACCTTTCGACGAATGAAATTTCGTGTCACAAGTGAGAGTGTTATACCTGTTAAAACTAGCATTATTGCTAATAACTTTGAAATTAATGATAGTATCATAACCAATAAAATGATCACAATATTTTACCTGAAACAAATAACATACAACTGATAAAAATTATAACACTGCATTACCTGAAAGGGATAATATTGTAATAACTGATAAAAATGAAAATGGTAACAGCAGTGGTTGCAGCAGTCGTCTCAAAGGTTATGTCAATGTCATAAACAGCGTCATACAAATTAAATGTCAAACCATAGTTAATC